AAAAAAGTTTTGTCAGACTCATCAGAAATATTTTGCCATTGTTGATTCCTATACCCTAAAGTTCTATATTATATAAATATATAATACCTTGTATGCTTAAATATTTAACTGTGTGATTTTGTATATATCTTCATACACATGCTCACACACATATGAGGGTTAATGTCCCCAGATGCTGGGAGAACAGAGAATCAGAAACACAAACAATATAAGCTTGTATTAAAGAGTTCTGAACTGGACTGCTTGCTTTTGCCACGTCTTTGCTTTCGGTCGAGCTGGCCCCGAGCATCGCTGGGTGTGGGAGGGTGAGCGTGGTCCCACATCTGGATGCACAGCTGTACGGGCTGCCCTGCCACGTGCTCCCCTGCCTCAGTTTCAGGCAGGGTCTGCAGCACTCACAGTGCTCTGGCAGGGCTGGTGGAGGGAGGATGCCCCCCCCCCCGGGGTGTGGTGTGGTTCCCTGCCACCCAATGGGTCTGGTTCCGCCGTCAGACCCTGAGGCAATGGGGTCTGCCCTGAAGAATTCCACTTTGTCTCAATTGGGAAACCTTTAGAGAAACATTCAAGCCTGTAAGTGTGCCTAAATAGTGCCCTCATCACTTGGAAAAGAGCGCTCACACGTAAAGGCTTGCTGACTGCGCTCCGTGTGAGGGGCTTTGGGCTCAGTGACAACCTGGGGCTGTGCCAGGCTGCAGCTTGGCGCTGCCGTGACCTGTCTGCCACCCAGCACATCTAAGGACTCTGCCCCTGCCCTCTGCTGCTTACCTTCTCCATCAGCTGCACAGCACTGTCATCCAGCAGATGAGTCCCAACAGGAACTCGCCGTGACTCAGGAGTATGACCTAAGCGGGGAGGAAGGCTGGAAGCCATCTGCGTGCACCCCGGGGCTGAGCGTGCCAGATGCAGAACCCTGTGGGCACTGTGGAATGAGGCTCTGTGTCCCATTTAACATCATTTTGCTCAGCAGAGTGATGGACGAGGCTCAGATCCATGCCCACCCTGCAGCAGGACCCCGTGGTGCAGACCCCAGCCCACCTCCCAGCTTGGAGCTGCTGCGGCAGGCAGGGGAGGGATGTCTGTGCTGCTGTAGCTGGGAAATGTGTATCGACTCAGCATTTACAATGTGAATTGATTCAGCATCGACGCCTCCAAACTGGGCCTGTGCACGCTGTCAGGATAGGTGCCATTCAGCCCTGACAGTTATTGACTCCCTATTGTTTCTGAAGAGGGTCACTGTTAACCCAGTTAACTCTCACCCTCATCAATGATTTAACTCCCCAGGGAAGCCCAGACAGGACAGGGAGGCTGGAGAGGACCTGGAGCATGTGGGTAAGAGCCTTGATGATGGCTGTGCTGCACCACTTGCAGGTCCTTTTGCTTTTGTTGCTGTTGGACTATAATGGCAGACAGCTCTGTCTGCCATCCTGATGTATGTGCACTACTGAAAAGCAACACTTTGCCCGCTTTTAGAAATGTGGCATTAATACTGACTGTCGTGTGTAAAGAGGCTGTGGACTGAACAACAAATGAATTCCACACTGCAGTCTATGGGGCGCTTGGGGGCAATAAACTGAAGGGCAGCAATAAATTAATATTTTTTTTTTACACTGACATAAGTGAGTCACTAAAAAAGATGTTTTGCATTTCAGCTGTCAAAATCTACTGCAATATATCGAGTGGGGAGAGAGAGTGACAGCCCATGGTGCCTCTATAGCATCCCTGTCAGTGGCCAATGCATTATTAATGGAGTATAAGCACGTTGAACGGCCCTGTCAATAGAACACACCGTAGCTAAAAAGGCCTATAAACGGTGTATTAAACGGTTTGTGTCTATAGCAATACATAAATCAATTAACTGTGCATTGAAGGATCTATTAAGCATTAATATAGGCTTTAAAACAGGAGCAACCTACAGAGGCAGCTCCTGCTGGGCTGTGCTGCAGCCGCTGAGCGATGCTCATCTCCATTCCTCGCATGTGCACAACCACACGAGCACAATCAATTGCAGTGTGCGGCCAAAACAACCATTCCTATGGCCAGTTCATGTGTCTGTCTGGAAATCAATCGCTGAAGAGCGGGGGAAGGGAAAACATACATCAATACCTGCATTGAGAGAGGGCTGAAGGCACTGCTCAAAGAGTGGGCCACCAGCTGATGTTAAAAGTGGCAGAGGGAAAGCAAGGGATCTCACTTTCTGATCAGCCCCAAGCTGCAATGCCAGCCAGCCTGTGCCACCAAGCACTGTGTGGCTGCAGACACTCGTGTCACCCGCCGTCGGTCCTGTGGGCTGCCATAAACCAAGGGAGCTGACTGCATTCGCTGCATGCGACAGCAGGGAAGCTGCTCCTGGTTCATACATCCGAGTTGCCACCTGGCTGAAAGCCACAGCTCCTCCACCAAGTGTGGCACTGGGAACTGTAGGAATGGGAAAATGCAGCTGTTGGCAACATGAAGCAATGTGGACAAAAGGATGTAGAGACTTCAAGAAAGGCTTCCAGAAACTGGAGTGTAAGGAAAGCTGCTCACCTTTCCCATGTACTGAAGGCACCTGAAGATCAGATGAGCATCCAGCTGTGCCCGTTAGCGGATGGTGCCTATGTGTGTGCTCCCTGTGCTGCCCAGTGCACCTCCTCGGGTGCCATGGCCTAAGGCACAGTGAAGGGAGGTGAGCTGTTCCCAGGCCTCTTCCACTCACCCCCTGGCCCAAAAGTTTGCTGATAAAACGCAGCCAAAGGATCCTAAAAACATTACGCTCAGGAGAGGCAGTAGTGTATGAAAATAGTTCTGAAGGTCTTGATGATCTTCCGGGCGACTCAGGCCTAGTGAGGACCATCCGTGGTTAAAAGCTTGCACAAAATAGTTGTGGTTTTTTTGTTGTTGTTGGGTTGTTTTTTTTGTAGATACCAAGTCTTGTCACCTGCTATCCGCAGCCTTCTGGTCATTTTAGTTACAGTGAAAATAGAACTGGTGCCAACAGCCACTCTCGCCTCCTTCCTACAAAGACATTACCTACCAGCTTACGTTATGGAAGCTACCCCCTGCCTCCCAGCTGTACATTTATTTTTAAGAAGCATGCAAGCTTCCCATCTCAGCTGGAGCCCACGGCCCTTTGTTAGACTACAGGTGTTCATAAAAAAAAAGAAAAGGAAAAAAAAACAGGGCTGGAGTGGATGGGTGTGACAGGAGTGAGAGCACATGGAAGATGCCGGGTGAGCAATGCCTGCAGACGAAGCCCCTCGTGCTGCTCCTTCCCACCAATGCACCCAGGAGGATGGGGATGGCTGCAGTGCACACTGCATGCGGGCACGCATGCGGCAGAGCGCGAGCCCATGGGCCAGCATTGCTGGGCTGTGACTGCAACTATTTATCTTGAAAGCCTGATGGTTACATTCTCCAAAATTTCCAGTTAGAAAACACAGAACCTTCCATTCAGCCGCGAGCCCAAGCATGTGTAACTTCGACAAATTCCTCGGGTTTGTTTGGCTTGGGTCGGCCGTGCCGGGCAGCATCCGTGGCCACAGTCTGCCTGGGGCTGGAACTGAGATGAGAGCTCTGTGTGCTCCTCGACAGCTGAACGGCTGCCAAATGCTCTCTGCCACTCTGCCCCAGCACATCCGCCTGCTGCATTCCCCCCCGTGCTGCCACCAGCATCACCAAGGATATGAGTGGGCTTTGGCGTGTGGCCTCCATTCCCAGTTCCTACAACACTGCACTCGTGGCAGTCAGGCATCCCATAATAGCGCTAGTCCTGTAAGCACCACAACATCCCCACCTGCCGCGTCATTGGCATCGCAGAAAATGCCAGCAGTGTCACTCAGGTCCATCAGGCTGGGACCATCAGCACATTCGCAGTCTGAGGGTTTTTGCTTTGTTTTGCTTTGCACAATAGCCAAGCTGAGCAAATAATGCTGCAACACCTCGAGCAGAGCTGCCCGCTTCCAGAGGTGCAAGATTTGGGAGCTGACTCTGGATGAGGCCAACAGTTGCACTTGCAGGATGGCACTGAGATGCACTGGGGCTCATCAGACCCAGGCAAGGAAATGCAAAGTGTGCATTGGGCTGCAGGAAGCTGAGGTTGTCCTCTCCATCCCCAGGAACACCAAATCAGGAAAAGAGATTTTAGCTTAAAAAAAAAGGGCTCCCAAACAACCTGTGGTGCTCTCGTTCCAAAGGCTCCCCCGTGTGCTCCAGCAGGACACTGACCAGGTGCTGGAGGGCTCCCCAGCCTGCAGCATCCACGTGGGTCAAGACAAATGAAGAGACAGGACGAAAGGAAAAAGGGAAAAACAAGAGTAATGTGGGAGACAGGACCACAATTAGCCAAAGCAGGCAAAGAGGTTTATCTCAAGAAGGATAAGCCTGGCTGAACTTCCTCCACATCAAATCCTGCACCTTTGTTTGGTTTCAAAACACATCCATTTTGAAACTCACCTCCTTCTTGTTTTCTTTACTTTAAAGGGTTAAATAACCTGGAAAAAAAACAAACAGAACTGTTTGCTTTGGGCTGACTGAACTGATTCATTCAGCCCACAGTGCTTCCTTTTCCCCCTCCAGCCCCCCTCCAGGTTTGTTGTTTCGCTTTAAGACAGAAAAAGCAATAGCTTTGGGCTGCTTTGATTTTTGTTGTTTTTTTTTCCTCTCACCCTCCTGCACTCATTGGTTTGGCGACCAGACTGAAAAATCCATTACCCACACAGATCCTGGGCCAGCCTAACCCACATCTGACAGTAAAAGAAACCAGATTCTCCATGTCTTTTTAGCCCCTGGCTTCCTTCTTGGGCTTTCCCACATATCTGAAGCTCCCAGAGGGGCTGCGATGGGTGCTGGGCAGGGCCAGGACCCTACACAGAGGCTGCACTTTCCCCTCCTCTCCCAGCGCCTGCTCTCGGGGTCAGCGCCGGTCTCTGGTCCTTGGGGTTGGCCATTGGGGGAGTCGTCTCCTCTCAGCTGAAGCAGCGGCGAGACAGCATCAGGAAGAAACACCAAAGGAAGCATGGAGATGGACTTAATATGAACCTTTAATGCACAGAACGAGCTGCCGGGAGCCTTGCGAACGAAGGCACGGAGCCATTCTGCTACCTTGGAGTGGTAAAAAACCCCCAGCGTGTCCACAACGTCCTGGCACCTGCCTGGCATCCACCTCTGGGCCACGCGCTCACAGCTGGGATGCTCCTGGCGTCCTCGGCCAACGTGGCACCAAATTCCTGGCCCCACAGCTCCGGGTGGGCAGGGGATCCCCAGGCCCAGAAGTTCCCCTGCTCAGGCTCTCGCCTCCTGCGGGTATCGCCTCCTCCCAGCGTTTCGGAGTGTGTAGTCCAGGAAATTCAGTAAGAAAAGATTAAAAAGGAGAGACTTTTGCGCTGAGTCAAATCAGGTGTTGGGTTTTTGTTGGTTGGTTGGTTGGTTTTTGTTGTGTTTTTTTTTTTTTTTTTTTGTTTGTTTGTTTGTTTGTTTCCTCTGGAAAAAAATAAAAAACGAAAGGAAAGGAAATTAAAGTCCAACTTGCAGATTTCGCGTTTCTCTGCCATTGATGTGAGAAAGTCCTGCTTGGCCTCGCTGCCCCCTTTCACCCCTCTGAATACCTCCCGTCCCCGAACCCCAGCAGCACTCAGCACATCACGAGTCCTCGACTCCTCGGAGTCCCTCTGCCTCCCACAGCTCCAGGCCGGCACCGTCCCTCACCGCCCCTTGGACTCCCCGTAGGTGTTGCGCAGCATGGAGACCATCTTCTCCTCGCACGTGACTTTGGTGTCCTTTAGGATGCTGTACCACACCATGCCAGGAGGCCGGACCTCCTCGCTGCGGCAGAACAGGTAGGGCATGGTCTCGGTGCGGCTCTGGATGTAGGAGCTGCGGAGCAGCGTTGAGCAGTGACTGCTGACTTTCTCCAGCCTCCGCAGGATCAGGTGTGCCTTCCTGGAGGGAAGAACCAGAAATAGGGGCAGAGGAGTCCCCAGGGCACACCTGGCTCCCATCACTGGCTCTGTCTCATGGCAAGAATCACAGAACCACAGAATGGTTGGGTTGCAAGGGACCTCACAGCTCAGGCTGCCCAGGGCCCCATCTAATGGCCTTGGGCACCTCCAGGGATGGGCACTCACACATCTCTAGGCAGCAGTGCCTCACTGACCTCTAGGTAAGGAATTTCCTGCTCACAGCTGACCTAAATCTGATCTCTTTTAAAAAGAGAGAGCTTTTTCTTTTAAATCCATTCCCTCTTTTGTCCCATCATCTGCCCATGTAAAAAGTCACTCTCCCTCCTGCTTATAAGAAGGCTGCAGTGAAGTCTGCCCGGAGCCTTCTCCAGGCTGAACACCCCCAGCTCTCGGTCTGTCTGTGTAACAGAGGTGCTCCAACCTCCAACCATCTTCATGGCTGGCTCATGCCCAGCTTTTATACACCAAACCCTTCTCCGTGGGGCTGCTCTCAGTGAGTTCTTCTCTCAGTGCATACATATACCTGGGATTACACCAACTCAAGCACAATACCGTGCACTTGGCTTTGTCGAGCCTCATGAGGTTCAATGGATGAGAACCACGACCTGAGACATCGCCTTGCCTGTTTTAGGTGGAGAGCAGCTCTGCTTTGTGTCAAAGTTCATACACATCCATGCATGGGGCTGGAGGGACCTCAGGCATGAGCAGCAGAGCAGCTCCGGTGCCCTGAACTGTGCCAGTTGGTCACCAGAGTGCCACATGTTCCACAGCACTCCGTGGGGACCCCCAGTACTGCCAGCCCACGAGTGCTGCCCTCCCTGCTCTGTTTGCCTAAGTCTCCAGGAGGCAAATGGCCCGAAAGGACTGACACTAGAAGAGCGAGGAGAAAAAGCACAACACATTAAGACAAAACAAAATAAACCCGTTAGAAACCAAGAATCCCCTTGTGGGAGTCTGCAAAGTGCTAAATCAAACAAAGGGAGGGGAAGAGGGTTTACTTCAGTGGTCTGAAAGTCTCAAGATCACAGATTATTTCCTCTCCCTCTGGTGCCACAGGAAAGCTCTGGATTTGGGGTTAGGGGATTTCACAGTTCCTGGAGGAATGTAAATTCCTGATAATGATATGTCAGAGGCAGCGCTGTCAGTCAGTGAGGCATAAACATGGGGATTATTTGATTATGGGAGCTGAGCGGCGTTGCAGCCTGGGCTGTGAGCTCCTAACGAGGAGCAGCACCAGCAGCACCCAGTATGGGATGCAGGGAAGGAGGGCAGATGAGGCACAAGGGCACATCAGCACCTCCTGATGTGCCACCGATCCCCCAGTTCACACGTGTGAAATTCCACGGTGGCATCAGATGCTCTCAGCAAAGACTCATGGATTAAAGCTCAGCTCAGAGCAAACCAAGATCCACAGTGCCTGGTGCTACAATGAGGCCAACAGATCTCACTCAATCACTCTCGCTGCTGGTGGACGGGACCAAAGGGGATCATGTGCAATCAGCCTGCCCTGATGAATATGTCCAACCTGCTCTTTAGTCAAAGGCAGAGCACAGTTTGTTTCCACAAGCAGTCCTTCAGCTTATCCATCTTAATGCTGAGAAGCTGTTTCATAACATCTGCTCTTTCTTGAAGGGGAGGTTGGCCAAACGTAGAGCCCACATACACCCTGTAAGATGGACATTCCTGTAAGCAGACCGTGCTCAGGAGCAGAGCACTGAACCAGACCTGCCTCTCTCTCAATGGGATAACTATCATCTTTCCAGGGCCACAGCTCTGTGGTGACCCTTACTTACCATAAATCATCTCTATTGCCAAAAGTAGGTTCTGCTCCTTTCCCAGCTTATCCCTGCCCAGGTGTCCATTGGGATGAATGGGATTCACTGACATGGAGAAGTTGTCCACCTGAAGGCCAATCAAGCATCCAATGGCTTTTCTCCCAAACTGGTTCCTAGTCCAGCTCACCAGGAGGCCTTACCAGGCTTGCACAAGAGGAGAGCACCAACAAGTGGATGCGGCCAGTCTTTGAGGCATTTCCCAGTGGTAGGTAACAGTGACTTGCTCTTAATCAGGTTGAGGGCTGGGCACCCCAGCACATGCTCACACACATCTGCTGGTCAAGCTCTTCCCTTTTCCTCCTCCCATCTCACCAGCTGTCTGTCTCCTCCCCTGCACAGCCCTCTCAGCCCATCTCTCACTTCCCTCCTGCATAACCTGACCATTTCCCTCCATCTCCCTTGGTCTTCCCTACTCTCCCATTTTCATTACATGTTCCACCACCCCAGGATCACCTGGATTTTGCTAAAAATGACCACGTTGCCTTCTTTTCCTGATAGACATATGGGTCTCTTGGCCAGATAAACACTCTCATTTGTGAATCACAGAATGGTTTGAGTTGGAAGGAATCTTCAAAGGTCATCTGATCCAACTCCCCTGCAAGGAGCAGGAACATCTACATCTACAGCTCAACAAAGAGCAGCAGGGCTGAACCATGCAGACCTGCTGGTCTCTCATTTGCTGCAGTCAACGCTTCTTGGGTTGGTGGTCTCCACATCTGCAGCATCTGCAGTTGTGCTCGGTGCAATCAGCCCCAAGAAAGGGATGTGCACACGCTGAGCTGACTCTACAAGGATGCTGAGAAAGCACAGCACCATGGTCCAGGTGATGGGAGGGAGGGAATCAGGTCCCTCACTTTTGGTTTCCGGCACCAAAGCCCCAGTTTTGATGGGTTTCACTGCTTTGAGACTGAGTCACTTATTTTAGTGAGGGAATGAAGTCATGTGTAAATATTAGATTTAGCTTTTGGCTGTCAGCTGTTCCCTCTTAAAAAAAAAATAAGGAGCAAGAGAGACAGAGCGGGTGAGGGGAGGGGTGAGAAAGGGAGAGAAGCTTTCTGGTGAAGGCTGGGTAATAAATTACAGGAGCAGCTCTTGGGCTGCCAATTTAACACCATAAATCAAGCGCTGGGTATTACCCAAGTGCTCCCTGCGGAGGGCTGTCGGGTCAGAACGACCACCTTTTCAAATACTGGAAATGAAATCTTCCTAAATGCTGACCAACCTCATCCCTGCCAGAAACAATAATTTATTGCCTTATTAAAGGGCAGGAATCAAGAGAGGACAGCAGGGGAGCGAGGTGGGGGTCATTTTCATGGCCAGATCCCGGCCCTCCAAAGGATGAAGCAGCCCCTCTTTGCTCCCCCATAGCCCAGCTCCACTGCAGGGTGCCCCCACTCTGGGTGTCCCCAGGGACCGGTTCTTGAGTGATGGATTTAGGAGGTCATCACCCACATCATAAATGGTGGAGAGAGGGATTCTGATAGCGATGGCTCCGCACGGCTGCTCCCCCCTTGGTGTGGGGAGAGGGGTGGGAGGGGACGGGGGGCTGCCAAAGAAGGTGCCAAGTGAGAGGGAGGACGAGCTTCCTCGATCTGCTGCAGGAGGGGCTGGTTGCCCGTCTGCTCTGTTCCCATATGGGACGATTCTGTCATCAATTCAGATTTTTCCACTCTACTGAGAACTGACCCAGGTCTGTCAGACCCTCATCTGAGAGGATAATGAGTCCGGGACTCGATGGCCTCTTATCACAGCCTCCCATCGGTACATTGCATTCCCCTCGGTTCCAGAAGGCAGCTGCTCTGGGGATGCACTGATCTCATGAGGCCGCCCCGGCTGCTGCCCGGGGACCTGCCTGAGGGAAGGAGAGCTGTGAGCCCCACATCCTGACCTTGCTGTTCCTGGTAGCCGCAGGCAGGGGCACAGAGGGAAGATTTTAACCTAATTCTTTCTCCCGCCTCCTCCTAACAGCCAGGCTCTGTTTGCAGTGGTCACAAGGATTGTCCAAAAATACAGTATGAGAAAATAATAAAGAAATCTCCCTGTTGCCATGTCAGGAAGCGCTCTTGCTGCACCGATCCAAAGGTCTGAACACACAGTAGCATTAAACCTTCACTGCTTTAGACAGATTCTCTGTTTTGTTGGAACAAATTAACTCTGCGAGACTCATTTGGTGTTTGTAGGAGGAATGGGGGGAGCAGGAAAGGGGTTGTTGTTGCTGAAGGAGACGAGCAGGATGAAGCAAGCCAGGTGCCAAGATGCTGCTGACCACAGAAAGTCCTGGTTTAGGGCCACCTATGAGCTAACTTTTTAATGTCTCCTTAATGTAAACCGTCTGGTTGGGACATCTGGCTGTCAGCGTGTCTTCTCGCGAGCAGCTGTTTGCAGTAACCTGTGGCTTTCATGGAAACTGGGCTCACGAGGACTCCAGTGTGATGTATTTATTACACGGAGGCAATCAACTTCCCTCTTGTCGCTCAGTTTTATGAGCGAACATTTACTGCGAATCTGAGGCTCATCTGATAAACATTTCAAGGTATGAAAATGAATGTTCCTCTGGGAAGGAGAACAGCCCGTCAATTAAAATCGCGTTACGAGATGGCCTCCCTTGGCAAATCCCCCCCACGTCAGTGCCTCCGCTTCTGTCCCAGCTCCCGGCGATGCTGGGCGGGATGCAGAGCTCTGCTCTTGTCAGTCTGGCATCGACTGCTGCTGCATTTCCCCTTGGCTGCAGGTCACACACTGCTCAAACATGGAGTGGGGGCACATGAGCTCTGCAAGGGATCATCTGCCTGGCGAGGAAGGCAGACAGCAGCCGAATCGACCACTGGCTCCAGATGTAGCTCGGTATGGAGTGCAACAATGCGGGCTATTTAAATGTCACCTTGCAAATCTGGCGGCTCAGTGTAGGTATCAGGGTAGCTAACATGCTGCAATAAGTTGGATCTCAAGTGACAAGGGAAATAAGAAGAGTAAGAAAAATGTAAGAAGAGGCTGATGGACCCCGGGGGCTCAGAGCAGTTGGAAAGGACAAACAAGTCCGCAGTGTCATCAGAGAAGGAGGAAGGCGGTGGGAAGGAAGAGTGGCTCAGCGTCAGGCGCTAATGAGCTATCAAAGAAATTACGACCAAGGTCGTTTCTGTGGGAGGGCAAGCACCAGGCCGGCCTGGATTTATGTCTGTGAGAGCAGAAGCTGTTGTGAAGTGCTGTCATCCTGGTATTATGGACGGATCCTCGCTCGTGTCCAACAAGCAGACAGAAGTCGAGGAGAAAGAAGGAAATTCTTATTCATGGACAGCCCAACCCCTCTCCTCCATCCTTCCCTGCTCCAGTTTGTCAGAGAACAACAAAGAATCATAGAATGGCTTGGAAGGGATCTAGTTCCAGTGGTTGTCAACCACCAAATTCAGCACCAGAACAGACTGCCTAGGGCCCCATCCAAAGTTAGATGAGGATGATTCAAGAGCAGTGTCTACAAAAGCTTCAAGGCTACTTGAATTCTGAAGAGATTGTAACTTGTCCACAGGGTTATGACTTTCTCCAAACACTCCTTGCATGGTACCAGGGACACCACAGCAATGAAAATAAGGATGATCTTCTTAGCACCTACATCAATGAATTGAATTATTGTTACGGGAGAGTGAAGATGGAAAAGGGAACTTTGGAAATATTTACAGCTTGTACAGCAACCATATGGCACAGCAAGGATAAAGATGTGTCAGGTCCAATAGAGATAGAAACCAGCAGAAGGGAAAGTCCATGAAAAATACTACCTAGCAGAGACAATTTTACCACTTAGAATTTTGCTTAGTTGTTGATCCCCTCTGATAACATCCAAGTGCTGGCTTACACACAGACTATGCACTGTCCCTGATTAAGACCCTCTGGTCTCCCCATGGTGTTCCCAGTACCCTGCAGTACCACCCACTTCAGCTTTCCCACAAGCATTTATCGAAGACCAAGCAGGGCCTGGTCAACACCATTGGATGGTTAATAACAAGAGGGGACTTCTCTCAGCTGTGAGGAGGCAGCGGGGCTGGGAGGATGCAGGATAAGGGTGGGTACCTGGGCCCCAGCTCGTCTTCGCTACGCCAGACAAAGTCTCCGAACTTCTCATAGTGGGAGTTGTAGTGGTGCTGGACTCGGAACAGCATGGAAGCAGAGACCTCCATCAGCGTGTTGTAGGCTGTCTGCTGCTCCTTCCCACTGGTGTAGCCATTATAGAGGTTGTAGATTTTGTCAGCTATCTCTGGAAGAGAGCAGGGGACAAGATTTAATGAGCACAGGTGTAGTGGGAATGCTAAGTTACGGCCTGAAGCAGTGATTGAGCACCTGGTGGGAAGGCAGGGCCAACCCAGGGGAGCTCAGCTGCATGCAATACACCTGAGTAATTGGAAGGGGTAGAGGCAGGATCTACTCCTTCTACGACCTCATTTAAGGGTTGGTAGTGGAGGCAAGGGCACCTCTTGCTGTGTATCCCTGTCTACCTGAGGCCTGCCAAAGGTAAGTAGTTATTTTCTTTCATTTCTGAGGCTGCTGCATTTGGGCTCATTCTTGTTTGCTGGGCCCAAAGACTTTGCTACCCTGCCATTATCATGGTACTTTCCATCCCATTATAGCAATACAACAGGGAAAAAGAACAAGCAGAGAACCCTGAAAAGGGCTGGTGGGAGGTGCTGGGATAGCTGCAAATGAAGCTTGATTTATTGAGCAAGAAGGTGCGTGTTTTTGTTGTAAAAAAAAGAGTATTTTTTTAAGAAATGAAAAAAGTAGGAAACTCTTTTTCTTTCCTTTTCTGTAAAGCCTCTCATTTGCTCTTGTTTTGGAAGTGCTTATCAATAACACTAAACAAAGCATTAATCAAAGCTTTCTTTTGTTTGTTTCCCAAAGTAGAAAGAAAGGAAATAGGTAGCAGGCCTTCTATTCTTTTTTAGACAAGTAATTTAAAACTCAAAAACAGCAAAATGCTTTGGGAAGGAGAGAACGAATTTGACTGATTGGTTTCAAAACTGGGAAATGAAACTATGGAAGTGGTTGATGTCTCCATTTCAGAGTCAACACAGCTGCTACTGCTGTCCCACTAAAGACCCAGAGTTGGGTCCCAATCAGGGCTGCCCTTACTTTGCAGGCAGCAATTGCCCTTTTCCATAGGATGTTTGTTGGCAGGTCCCCAGGATCATACAGGGGAGCAGATGTGATGGCACTGAGCTACGCAGGACCATACAGCCTCCACTACAAGATGTTTGCAATTTGCCATCCATCCCAGCCCCATATCCCTGTGCCCAGGGCTCACTTATAAGAGCTTGCACTCTGGAAGAGGAGACTGGAGAGGGTTGCAGGTGTGTAATGGATATAGGAGAAGCAAAATTAACAGGAAATGGCTTCTGTCTTGGGAGACAAGGTGCCTGAAGACTGACCTTCTGCCTTGCTGTCATCTACCAGTGGGCAGGCTGTCCTCAGGGTGACCGTGCTCAGCTCAGAGTGTCTCCCTCGTGTGTCCACCGCATACAGAGTGAACCTGGAAAGCAGGAAGGGGAAGAAAAATGTCTTTATCTCCTGGTCTGACACCACCAGATTGTTATGGGAGCTGACTTCGTGAGAAGTGAAAAATGTGGTCCTGGCTCCCATCAGTCACTTCTGGCATCTCAAGGGGATGCAAGATGTCTCTGGCTAAGAACAGGAAAGCAAATAGCAGGAGGAGGCATGGGGGTAGGTCACAGCATCCCCGTGCACCAAGGGTGGGCTGCGTGCAGCTCCATGAGTTGGAGAAGGATGCACACACCTCTGCATGAGGTGCCATGCAATGCAGTAACATTGCAGTGCTTGCACCTCCCTGCAGTAATTCTGCCCTAAGTAGGATCTGTGCTGACAAGCGACAGCTCGCACACATCCTGCAAAAGGCCCTTGAGGTTGTTTTCTAGATCATTTCCTCACCAGGGTGGGGCTGGTAAAAGGGTGGGAATGATAATTTCACACTTGAAGCTAATGGAGAGCATCTGACAGTAAAATACAGCTTTTGTGCTGGATGGAGCACTGCATAAACAGGCTGTGGCTGCATGGGATGTCCTGTGATGCTAAGCTCAGAGCTGTGCTCACAATATCAGAGCTCCAAAATGAGAATGCTTCTTTGCAGTGGGGGCAATAATTTTTGCCCACTCTTCCAGAAGGTATAGATTGGTATTTACCCAGCCCAAGCCAGGCATGGAAACCAAAGCTGCCTTTGACACAGGGTGGGAGCTGGGCACAGAGGTCCCTGAAACAACTCAGCTCTGCAGTTGTAAGCTGAAAGGGGATTGAGACCCTGAGGCTTGTTTACTTAAGGAGTGGTCCTGACTCTCAGCATCCTCATCAGGGACAACAGTGATGCCTGCCTCCTCCTCACTCCAAATCAGTGGGCTGCTCCCACATCCCACCAGCAGCTGATAAGAGCTGACATCTGCATGGTAGCAATTCCCAGCATGGGATGTGCTCTCTCCAAGCAATTAGCATTAGCTCTGTAACAATATTTGCTGACTGAAAGGATGCCAGCAGACTGCCAAGGAACCCACTTGTGCACAGGGACAAAGCTGGGGCACGCAGGAGATGCAAACACTGCGCTTACCCAAGGAGATGCTATTTAATTCTTTGGCATGACATCATCTTCCTTAATTTAGAGGGAATGTTGCTCAGAGTGGGAGCATCTCACAAGGATGTCTGTGCTGTGCAACTTCACAAGTACCACACACAGGCTGTTCTCCTGCTATAATTAAGGGACAGCAGCAGAGCAATAGGGGAATTCGAATCCAGGTCAGGAGTGTGAGTGCCAGGCTCTGCAGAGCTGCCATCTCCACTTCTACTGAGCAAGGAGTCTCCTGTGGGCAGATAAGCAGCACAGATTGCTCTCTCTGGGTCCACAAAGCAGCAGTAATTGGGGCACGCAGTGTCAAGAAGGGCACCCCAGGAGTCCTGCAGCTCATCCAACCACCCATCAGCAGGCATTGCTCTTCTTAGAAGAACAGAATCATTAAGGTTGGAAAAGACCTAAGATAACCAAGTGCAACCTCATCCCACCACATCTCCAAGGCTGTTGAAGGCCGACAGGGACAGCGCTACTCCCTGGGCAACCTGTGCCAATGCATTACTGCTTTATGAGAGAAGAAATGTTCACTAACACCTAATCTGAACCTACCCTGGAACAACATGAAGCCATTGCCTCTTATCCTATTGCTGTTACTGGATGCAAAGGTTGAGCCCACCTCCCCACGACCTCCTTTCAGGAGTTGCAGAGTGATACAGTCTCTCCCAAGCCTCCTCTTCTCCAGACTGACCCATCTCAGCTTCTTCAGCTGCTCCCCATTGCACTTCTGCTCCAGCCCACTCACAGCCTTGTTGCCTGTCTCTGGACACGCTCTGTAGTTTCTATGCCTTTCTCGTAGTTAGGGGCAAGCGTCTGCAAGCATGGCAAGCTCTCAGGGGGCTCAACAGGTGGCTTTCTGTTGTGAGCTGACCTCTGTCCCCATGCTGGGTCATTGGCTTAGCTGTGCTGGTTGTGTTTTCCTTTGTAAATGGGTGAGCACAGCTAATGTGCAACCTCTGCTCTGCCTGCGGCAGCTTCATCAAGAAGGCTCCATTATCTGCGAGGTAATCGGTGCCAGAGCACTTCTCTTGAAAACAGCAGACTTTGATGAAAACAATGGTAATAGTCAGCAATTAGTGCCCACGTCACCTATTCCAGCACCCATGGGTCAGGAGGGATGCAGCTGCCTGGCAGGGGTCACAATGCATCCCGCATCTGCTGGGGGGGGGAAGGACCCCTTTGGGCTGTGCTTCTGCCCTCTGCCAACACCAACAGAGCAAAGAGTGACGGCATCCATAATGGTCCAGGCTGGGTTAAAAAACTGATCCACACACAAGGCCTTCATTTCATCAGATGAGATTGGGGGAAAAAAAAAATTGAAAAAGCCATGCTTAAATGGGAAATCATCAGAAGCAAAATGATTTTGACTCGGTCAAAGAGAATGCTTTAACTCACATGAAACCAATCCTCTCAGAGTTCCCAGAAGAAAGGCTTTGTGCTTCATTCCTTTTGGTGGTGAGGCAGTGGCTCAGGCTGCCCAGAGGTGGTGGTGCCCCATCCTTGCAGCTCAGGCAGGACGGAGCTCTGAGCACCTGACTGTTCAGCGCAGGGAGTTGGATTAGATGGTCCTTAAGATCTCTTCCAACTCAAATGATTTTATGATTCACTCTCGAGAGCTGTTCTGGAATGGGCACCAACAACTTCAGCTCTGGTGGCAGCTGGCAGCCCCAGCAGCACACAGCCCTCTGTCCTTCTCCATTTCCAACCAGCATCTGATCTCACAGAGCTTTGCCATTAACATCCAACAGATTGCTCTTGAAGCACTGACAGCTCTGCTTTAGTGATGGCAAACAGATACTTATGGGGTGAAGCATCTCAAACAGGAGAGCCGCAGCAATGTGAGCAGATTGCAAAAGTGGGAGATGATGGTTGCCCACCTCCTTCTCAACCATTTGTCCACCCAGCCTCTCTGTGGCAGAATGATCTCAGAGCAGTTAACAGCCCTGCACGGTGTGCTGGTAATTTTTTCCCTTTATTTGTGGAAATGGATAATCAAAGAGAAGAAAGAGCAGAGATCTGTGTCTCCTGCTTGCAGTGTCCAAGAGATACCCATGGCAGCTGTGGGTGAGGTGGAGACATGACCATCCCTACACAGCATTTTGGATGAAGGCCACGGCAGGCAGCATCTTTGACAACGATGGAGCTGCACCCAACAGTGCCAATGGGGCCCTTTGGGAGCCTCTAAGGAAAAATGAGACCAACAAGTGGTTCTGAATTCCAGGCTGGAATGCCATGAGGCAGCTCTGCCCTGGCTCTGCCTCCCCCATACCTAGGAGGTTGGTTTGTGCAGCAGTAAGCATTCCCTGCAACGCTCCTTCATGTGCTCCCTGTGTTCTTGTGTCCTCCCTCCTTTCCCCCAGTGCCCTTAGCACGATCATACATGGATGCTGCCTTTGGAACAATACTAAGACATATTCTGCCCAAAGAGGTTCCAAGGAGCGTTTTACCACTGGATGCACATATGCTTTTGGCAGAGAGCAGCCCTCCATGCCTGGAAATGCAGCCACCTCAGCAGAGAAACAGCACATCAAGTCCTATAAAATAACACTGCTTAAATGTTTCCCACTACAGTGACCAGAAGGAACTTTTAGAGAGAGATAGAAAGCAATTAACATGTGGCCTCGTGAAATGTCAGCAACACCTTCCTTGTAGATACTCCACCCAAAGCTGGCTAAAGCAGGGATTTTATCACTGGGCTCAAGATAGTTCTTGGGGGGAGGAAGAGAAGGCAGGGAAGAGGGGGGGGCGGCTAAAGCTTCAGTTCCTGGAATCCAATGATTGTGGAAGATTGTCAATTGAATTAAAAAAAAAAAAAAAAAAAAAAAAAAGGAACAATATGTTTCTTGCCTTTCTCAACGCAGAGGAAAAAAAAAGAAAACAACACAAAAAAACAAAATTCTAAAGGCCCAAAACCACAAGGCTGAGAATGAAACTCCAGAACATGTTCTTTATTTATAGACAACAACGCTGGCTCATAGTTTTTTTAACTCCATCTCACGATGCTGACAATGTTTGAGTGCTTTACTCATCATCCTTATTTGTAGGAAGGCAGATAAGGACTTCTGTGCTGACCTTCCTGGGCTGGCAGTTGATTTCTTCCCATCCTAAGGAGATAACAAACATTTCTGCTGTCCTGTGAAGCTCCACGAGATGCTGAACCACTACGATCTGGCTGGGCTGCAGGGAAAAGAGTCTGAGTCCAATAAACACTACAGCATCTGCCAAACACCCGTGCAAAGTGCTCGAGTGCCTACAAGCTGCTGGCTGCACACACACACAGTGGCTGTGCAAAAACCCAGCTGTGCCACATGAATGGGGGACAGGGCAGGGTGCTGCTCCAGGGCCCAGCATCATGCTGAGATACAGGCCCAGCCTCTGCAAAGTGGTTCAGCCATGATGTGCTCTTGCCAACACTTTTCATTTCCTGGTCCAGCTGAAGGATTGTATTTTAGTTAATCAACTCAGTGATCAGAGAGAACTTAGAAAGGTAAATGAGAGCAATACCCCTCTGAAGCAAACCATCACAGCATCATTAAGGTTGGAAAAGACCTAAGATCCCCACAGCCAACCCCAACCCATCCCACCACATCACTCAGTGCCACATCCCCACAGTTATGGAACACCTCCAGGGATGGTGACCCCACCACTCCCTGGGAAGACCTGTAGCAGTGCATTACCACTCTTCTGAGGAAAAAAAGAAGTTAGCTAACATCCAACCTGAACCTCCCCCAGCACAAATTAAAGCCTTCACCTCTCATTCTAAAGCAAGCAGACATTGAGAAGAGAGGGCTTGTGTGGAAGAAGTGACTTTCCCTGTCCCTTGCTGGCCTCATTTCATGCTGAGAGCTCACACTGTGCCTGTTTGCAGTGCCCGTTGGCAGGGTGGGCTCATACCTCTGCTT